CACTGCAGGGGTTTTTGTTTGTTTGTTTGTTTTTAAAAATATATATTTTATTGATTTTTTACATAGAGGAAGAGAGAGAGATAGAGAGCTAGAAACGTTGATGATAGAGAAACATCGACCAGCTGCCTCTTGCACACCCCTTACCTGGGATGTGCCTGCAACCAACATGTACGTTGGGTACATGCCCCTGACCAGAATCGAACCTGGGACCTTTCAGTCTGCAGACTGACACTCTACCACTGAGCCAAACCGGTTTCGGCAGGGTTTTTGTTTTTTTTAATCAGCAGCACATTCCAGCCACTTGAATTAGACTGCAGGCCCTAAAACTGCAGCATGTTTCTTTAAAGCCAGGACCACTGCCATTTTCTCCACTAGAGTGTCAGCATCACCAGGAGTGGTTTCACCCCTCTCTGTTGGGGGTACTCTCACAGAAAGCAGGCCTGGCATACCATAGTGCTCAGAATCCTCCTTGGATGGACAGTTCTATCAGTAAATAGAAAGGAAATCTCCCATTTGTCCTGAAGAGGGAAGTGTAGGGAGGAGAGCAACCACGCGGGAATATTTAGTGGCTGGCGTAGTTGGTGCCTGAACATCATATATCAAGGAAAGAGCGGAATTTTCAATCCTGAAAAAGAATCACGTGTGATACAAGTTTGACTCTTCCTTTGAGGTGTTTTTTTTTTTTTATCTTAGGGTCTGTTTTTTGGGACTTAGCTATCAAAGAATATTCAAAAGTGTGTTTATTTAAAGAAGTTTCCTGTTCCTCTTTGAGGTATCTGAGATTGAACAGGACAGGCTGACATGAGCTCCTTAAACTCTGCCAAGAGCACACGATAGGAAAGGCCCTGGAGGATATGCTCCTGAATGGTGTCATTAGATGCTTAATTTCTAAAACAGTTTGTGAAGTGGTGATGATCTGGACAGGAATGTGATGATTTGCTGGCTTTGTACACAGAGGCCATGATAGGGTCAAGTGGCGTGTGCAGGATTCCTGTGTAGGTGTGTGAGCTCTGCCTTGGCTGGTGGGAAAGTGCTGGGGTCCATTTGTCACACAAGCCTCTGCTGGACACACGGGTTGGACGTGAACACTGCAGCGCACCTGAGCAGGGGGACGGCCATTGAGAAGGCCACACTGGTTGCTGTGTGCACAGGGCACCCCATGAGCTGCGGTCACCTTTCACAGATGGTTTTGTGGACTGGGGAGATGCAGCCTGTGTTCCAGGGAAGGATGCCCTACCCTTTCTGTTCCCAGACGGAGTGCCTGCTCTCTAACCCAGTGGTCGCCAACCTTTTGGACCTCACGGACCACCCATTGGTGACCGCTGCTCTAGTCTGTTCTCAGATGCGGAAGGATGACTCTGTTTTGTGGGGAGCTACCCCTCACAGTAAGAAGTGGGTGATCTGCAGTCAGGTTCTGACTTGGAGCCAGGAAAGCATCCTGCTTCAGCATTTCATGGGCCAGCGTTTTCCACATCATATATTTTTTTTCTTAGCCATGAAATTCCGGCAGATTGTTATGCAAAAACAGTTTTGTGTCTCTGTGTGACTGGGAAGACAGCTGTTAGTCCTAATGAGGAGTGCCAGCATTACAGTCTTTCCGTTGATTGAGACCCGCGGAGGGAGCAGAATGTTCCAGATCAGGCAGTGGTGTGCAATGAGGAGGTACCGCACTGTCAGCTAGAAGCACATGCTCAGCTGCTCGCAGCGACAAGATAAATGAGTCTACTGGAGTCTGGCAGAGTCTGAGCTTTTCCAGTGTGTGGCCATGGCGGCCCGCTCCCCGTGAGACCTGAGAGTTGAGGGTGCTGTCTCTGTGCCAGCTTTTTCCTTTGATGGCCCACAATACCTGTCAGGGCTGTGATTTATTAAAAACCTAATGTCTTTCAGCGTTTCATTAACATCAGGTTCGATGGTCTTTTGTGGAGACTTTTCCCATTAATTTAGCAGAACGATAACTGAAATTTAACTTGGCCCAGACCTCCCAAAGACTAGTCTTCAGACCAGCTCTGAGTCGTGAGCTGCTCCCGAGCTCTGCCAGCAGTGTCTTTACTCCTACCCGCGACCTCTGCATGGAGGAGGAGCGGCACCTCATTCTAGTCAAGCTCTGGCATTGTTTTTTAAATAGGGAGTTCAGATGGGTCACTGGTCCGGTGCTCCAGGTTCCCCATTTCCCCCTTTCTGCCAGTGTCACACATGATGCCCCTTGGTGTAACATAGAGGCTGATGTTGGCAATGTAGCACCTAGGAAGGGGACGTGACTGGCGTCGGGTGGGCAGAGGTAGAGGCTGCTCAGCCCAGGTGCACAGGGCACGCCATGAGCCATGGTCACCTGAACGTTGACAGTAACGGATTGAAACCCACCTGACACGGACTCGGTACAAATTTGACACTGGTGGAACAGTTTTAGGTGTAAGATCTGGGTAACACCTGGTTTTTCTGAATTTGAGTTTATCTCTTGTTTAAGCTCTAAGAGAAATAAAAGTAGTTTGAAATTATTGAAAGAAATGATGAGGTTTTATATGTAAGATAGTATTTATTTGTAGTTAATTTTTTTGCCTCTGTAAAAAATATGGCTCTTACATATTCTGGGAGGCTGTTACTTAGGGCCAGAATTGTCAGGAATGGTGAGATTGTTTTCTTGATCCTTTCTTGTTATCTTTTATTTTTCTTTCTTTCTTTCTTTCTTTCTTTCTTTCTTTCTTTCTTTCTTTCTTTCTTTCTTTCTTTCTTTCTTTCTTTCTTTCATAAATTTTTATTCATATTACAAATGTTTCTTCCCCCCTTCCCCTATTGCTCTCCTCCACCAGGTTTCCACCCCACCCTCTGCCCTTTCCCCACCCCCCATTGTCCTCATCCATAGGCGCACAGTTTATGTTCAGTCTCTTCCCACATCCCTCTCTCCCCTTTTCCCCAAGAATCATCAGTTCACTCCCCTTCCATACCTCTGATTCTATTATATTCAACAGTTCACATTGTTCATCAGATTTTTAAAAAAATTTCCTTGGTTTTTAGATTCACTTGTTGATAGTTACGTATTTGTTGTTCATAATTTTTATCTTTATTTACTTTCTCTTCTGAAAGAACCCCCTTCAGCAATTCATATAATTCTGGTTTGATGGTGGTGAACTCCTTTAGCTTTTTTTTTTATTAGTGAAGCTCTTTATCTGGCCTTCAATTCTGAGTGATAGCTTTGCTGGATAGATTATCTTTGGCTGTAGGTTCTTACTATTCATCACCTTGAATATTTCTTGCCATTCCCGTCTGGCCTGCATGGTTTCTGTTGAGAAATCAGCTGACAATCGTGTAGGTGCTCCTTTATAGGTAACTACCTGCTTTGCTCTTGCTGCTTTTAATATTCTCTCTTTGTCTTTTGCTCTTGGAATTTTAATTATGATTTGTCTTGGGGTGGTCCTCTTTGGATTCCTTTTGTTTGGAGTTCTGTGTGCTTCCTGGACTTGTAAGTCTAATTCTTTCAGCATGTGGGGGAAGTTTTCTGTCACTATTTCTTTCAGTATGTTTTCTATATCTTGCTTTCTCTCATCTTCTGGGACCCCCATAATTCTGATGTTGGTTTGCTTGAAGTTGTCCCAAAGGTTTCTTACATTATCTTCAATTTTCTGGATTCTCTTGCCTTCTTGCTTCTGTGGAGTAGTGTCATCTGGCTCTTTATGTTCCAACTCTTTGACTTGATTCTTGCGATCTTCCATTCTGTTTTTAGGACTCTGTATAATATTTTTTATTTCAGACAATGTATTCTTTACTTCTTGTTGATCCCTTATTTCTCATTGATTTCTTATTAATTCTAGTGGATTCCTTTTCATTTCCTCATAGGTCTTATCGACCTTTTCTAGGAAATTCTTGAAAAACCTTATAAACGTAGATTTGAACTCTATATCCAGTCGTTTTTGTCCTCCATTTCTTTTGTTTGTGATCTATTTTGTTGTCTCACATTTTCGCAGCTTCCCTGATGGGGCGGGGGTGGGGGGGGGGTTTCAGGGTGGAGCCTATAGTCTTGGCTTCCGTCAGCCCCGCCCTCTGCAGTTCCTGAGTCTCAATAATCCCCAGGGTCCTTCAATACTCATTGCAAGCACCTCTGAGAGAAAGGTGCCCTCGATTTTCGCCTGCTACCAAACAGTCTAGTCTCTCCCCCAATGAGCCCGGAACTGGGGTTCAGTTCAGTTGGAAGTGGAGTTGGAGGTGGCGTTCAGAGCAGTCCGGAGCTTTTGTCTCCTTCCCGCCAGGGCAATCCCGCAGCACAGCCAACCGTCCCTTCTCTGCGCGCAATGTGCACGCCTCCGGGACCTCCTTTCGCCGCTCCCCCAGGGTTCCGCCTTACAGCCCAGCTCCCTATGGATGAGCCTGGGTCTCCGGGGTCTGGCCTAGAACTGGGGTTCAGAGCAGTCGGAACTGGGGCCCAGCACAGTCGGAGCTTTTATCTCCTTCCGCTAGGGAATACCAGCCAGGCACTCAGCCGCCCCGCCCTTCCTCTCTGGCTCCGTCCTCTCTGCGCGCCCCGCGTGTCTCCGTACCTTAGGCTTTTACAGCTCCTCCACTTTTCCTTCTGGGTTTCTCTTTCCTTCTCGTTGTAGAATTTCCAGTCAGTCGACTTTCCTGTAGTTCTGGGTAATGTCCATTTTATATTTTAGTTGTATTTTATTGAAATTGTTGTGTGCGGCTGTGGCTAGGTGTTTTCCTGTGCAGCCATCTTATATTCTCTCTCCTTTCTTGTTATCTTTAAAGTTTGTTCCCTCTTATTGAGGTATAAATGACAAGTAAAAATTGAGTATATTTTTATACTCAATGTGGTGTTTTATATACGTTTCCACTGAAGTGATCAGTCAAGTTAATTAACACATCTGTAATCTACCTTGGTTACCTTTTCTGTGTGTGTGGTGAGGTCATTTCAGATCCATTCCCCTGGCAAATTTCAAGTACATGTTATGGTACTAACTACTGTCACCATGCCGAACACTAGATGACCCCGTGCCCTTTACTTGTAGCACCGTGACCTCTGCCGTGTTCACCGTGGGGGATAACGTCGTTTCAGGCAGTGATGACCGCACAGTGAAGGTCTGGGATTTAAAGAACATGAGATCCCCCATTGCAACCATTCGTACGGATTCTGCCATCAACAGGTGAGGGAAGCTGCTCATTGCTTAGATGTTTATTTGACTTGATAGGGTTGATTGTAGTACAATGTCTTGTCCATGTGGCAATTAAATGAACCTTGGGAGAGTGGTTTTGATTCCTGGGGAAATATTTGTCATTGATCCTCTAGTGCAAATTCAGTATTTGTAAACACTGAAACTTAAGTATACAGTCAGGTTGGTGTAGTGGGCTCTGAGAATAAGAATGAACCAGTTATGGCCCCTCTGTTTTAGTGACATGCTGCACATGTGAATTGTATAAGCAGCTTGGTCTCTGCATCCTAAAGCTGCAGACACATAATACTCACTATTGTGTTTGCCATGAAGTGTGTATAGTATGGAATACCGTGGTGCTGTCACTCTTTTATATGGAACCTCCTTTTCTCTTTGCAGGATCAATGTATGCGTTGGCCAAAAAATCATCGCCCTCCCCCATGACAACCGACAAGTCAGATTGTTTGATATGTCCGGCGTGCGGTTGGCACGGCTCCCCCGCAGCAGCCGGCAGGTAACTGTGCTGCTGATGCATGTTCCCAGAGTCTCAGGTCTTCTCCGTCATCAGTGACTCCTGCACGCACCCTGGGAGACACACATGGGTTTTAGTTTCCTAATAGCCTCTTTAAAAAAGCGAGAAGTTACTTTAACAATATATTTAACTAGATAAACCCAAAATAATAATATTTGAATATGCCATCAATATAAAAATATTAGCAAATTTACACTCTTACTTTCTTATTATATATTTGATTTGTATTTAGAGTTCCTAAGATTTATCATTGAAAATGTTAAAATGTTTCCCAGTACCTGGACTGAACATTAGTTTTTAAGTTTAATCTAAATGAAATGCAGCATTTAGTTTCTTAGTGTCAATAGCCACTACTCGGGACTCACTTTTGCGTGGGTTAGTGACCGCCGTACTGGAAAGCAGTTTTAGATATTTTCAATTGAACTTGTGCAAATTGGAAATGTATTTAACACAATGGGTGGCCAAGCAGAAGTGGGAGCTCCTTAAGAAAGGACCCTCCGTCCCTAGCCAGGAACCCCTTTTCATGGTGGGTTGCCAGGACAAACTCCATTGTAGAAGAGACTTTCCTGGGCACTAGGACTTGCATTCAGCCCAGATGGTGCAGTGCAGGGGTGTTGGGTCAGTGTATACTGAGGTGTTGGCACCACCTGTCACAGCTACCTGGGCTGTGGTGCCAGCTCAGACCTGCTGACTCAGAGTCTGAGGGAAGCCTGGGAACTGTGTTTAAATTCGTTTGGGTTGCTCCAAATTTGAGGGCGAGTCCCAGAGTGAGTGACACACTGGCTTTGTTTGTAGGGGAATTGATGTAGCTGTAGTAACAACAGCCAGTGTCCTCTCCCCCCCCCCCCCCCCCCGCCCCTGCTTATGAAGGCAGCCTCTCTGCAGCCTTTGTGCCTAACGGAGCCCCACCACAGTCACACTCTCCTTTGCTTCTTTCTGCCTTTTCTGTGTGTCACTGTGATACCTTATTCTCCCACCATGGCTGCAACTCGGTGGCTGCTCCTGTCCCTTCTGGGCAGAGCCTCCAAGTGCAGTGATGAGCTGCAGGCTGGCCCGTGGGAGGTGCGGCTCAGGAACTGCAGACCCAGGCGCCTCCGGAGTTAAGTGGTCAGGTGCATTTGCTACCAACAGAGCAACAAATGCAATGGGACCAACTTTCCAAAGGCTCTCTGTGTTCAAGACATGGTTGGTTCTTCTCTGTGTAGCTCCTACGTGTGCTGTTTGAAGTTAATGACTGAGCTGCTTAATTATGAGTGCAGGTCACAGAAAAACTACTCATGAAATTAGAGTAACTACACAAAGCTAGAGTTGCTTGTCTGGGATTTTTGTGTTTTGGTAACTGCTAAGCATCACTGATGTATCCTAAACATCTCTCTCTTTACTCTTTTGTTTATAGCTGTGCCTATGCAGTATGTAAAATTGCTGTGCAACATAAAAGCCAGCATTTATAAACAAATGTATGAGTGTGCATGACTTCATTACTTTGAGAATATTTCTCAAAAAAAAAAAAATAGATTTCAGCAGTTGTTGGTGGGGCTAATTCTGTGGGCACAACTTTATAATTTTCTGTTAACTCTCAATCCAGTTAGAATTATAGAGTTCTTCTGTGGGTGGCCTTATTTCCTCCTAAAGTGGTTTGTGGAAATACTTACCTTTAAGGTTAATGGATAACATTTCATTTCATTCTGAACCTGTAACATTTCAGATGAATCAGTATGCTTTTCAGTCTCACAAAACCACAGCTAGAAATCTCTGGCTCATGTTGTCCCAGCTTCTTTCAGCTGACAGCTTTAGGAGACAACGAAACTCAGTTCAAGTTGGTCTCTAGAGGAGCAGGGGCTTAGAATGTGGAATTGTTTTACTTTGGGGAAAGTGTAAGTGCCATTTCCCAGAGTGTGGACTGTGATCAGGAGCTCAGGGAGGGGTGGTGCAGTGTGCAGTGAAAGGTGGGTCTACAGACAGCGCACAGGATCTGTGCTGCGGGAGAGGGAAGTTTTAGCATGGCTCTGTGACTCTAGAAAGGCACAGAGTGGTTTCAAAGTCTGCATGTGCACCGGGCCTTTTTTGGGTCATGTCTGTGTGCACTCTGGGGGATGTACGTGAGATAAAAGGAGGACTCACCTAGTGCGGGCTCCCAGTTCAGGCAAAACTGGACCCACATTTGCAGGTGCTGTCTGGCCCTTTCCCTCACTAGGTAGTAGGATATGACTCTGTTGGCTCAGTGAGTGTCTTGAGTTTATCATCTTGAACTAGTTCTTTCCAGAGGCTTGATTTTTATTGCCAGCTAGTGCATGCTTATGCATTCTCACTTCTTAAGTTCCTAACAAAGCGGCGTAGAAGAGCTCCCCTAACCCTTCACCTGGGCTCCTTTCTTGTCTCTCTAAAACCAGCAGTTCTCAAATGCCAATGTTTTACAGAGGGAGCTGTTATGCTATTCTTTTGAGGGTTTCTTTTACTAAATTTCTTTTAGCTGTTTCTACTCCTTCCTGTACTTTATTGTATGATATAGCACCAGCCAACTATTAGAGTAACAATGACCGTGTCCTAAGACATTGCTTGCATACCCACCTGGATACACCAAACATCACACTGTAAACTGTACGTTTTGCAGTAATTTTTGCCAACATTGTGATGTTGAACCGGAATTTCTAAAGGTATCAGAAATCTACTTGAAAGGCCATTCATTTTTTCATTTTTTTCATTTGACACTGAATGTGATTTTTAACTGCTTGGACACCTGAACCAATTATTTGTTAAAATGATATTTGAGGTCTTTGGGTGAATTTCATTGAGTTTATTCCTTAATTTACCAAGACTTGTTCATTAAAATAAAAAAATAAATGATTATTTTTTCTTTCCGACTGTAATCTTACTCATTTTCTTAAAGAATCATGAGTGCTTTTGGTGTGTTTCATGAGATTCATGTTGTGTCTGACCTCATTCATTCATCAAGGTCTTTCCACCAGCTCATCCCTGAGAACCTGCTTCCAACTTCGTATTTTTGTCTCATTCTGATTAATCCTGAGAGTTAATTTTTCTCCCTCTTAATTCGGTTGCTTTGAGTGGTGTAGTTCTTAATTTGGTTGTGGTTTTATAGCCCTATGCTTGAGGAATAATACACTAATTCTGGTTTGTGTGCTTGGTTATAGGGCCACAGAAGAATGGTGTGCTGCTCGGCGTGGAGTGAGGACCACCCCACCTGCAATCTATTCACCTGTGGGTTTGACAGGCAAGCCATAGGCTGGAACATCAACATCCCTGCATTGTTACAGGAAAAATAAGGTGCCAGCATTCCCTAGTTTTGTAGTTCGCCATGGACCTGTGACTGGAGCAGGCTTTTCTCATACCGATCCGCCATTTTTGTGAGAGCTGGACCCTAAGAAGGGTGATTTGTATATGTTCTTTTCCCATTGTACCCAGCTTGCATGATGTACAGAATTGTGGTAACGTTTTTATTCTGTCTTGTCTGTGCTGGCATCCTCTGGTCAGTGGGAACAAAGCCGCTCCCTATAGCACGTGGCATTTGACATATGACAGGAGGGCATCACACTTGTGTGAGTTCAATGTGAACCTGTGTACTTACTGTGAGTGTAAGTCTGTGGCATTTCTGGAATAATCCTACATATCTACCTTGTCCTGGGAGACTGCAGAGCTGTATTTGCGTTGGCTGATGAATGGCAAGATTGGCAAAAAATTTTATGTTTACTTCCATGTGAAGTTGTAGCACAAGCTGTTGTGTAATTCAGCTTCAGCTCTTCATTCTCTTACAGTTCTGTGAAATTAACCTGGATCTTAGAAGTTAAAAAAATAGTATCAGATGTTGAGTTTGCAGGATTCATTTTTTGTTTAAAGAAAAAGTGTTTTTGTTTTTTTTTTTTTTTTATAGCAAATCATTTCAATATCCTGAGGTCTCATATTAGCAAAATCTAAAATAAGATTCTAATCACCAATTCAGATTGTAAGCAAAATTTAAAGCACTTTAGTTTATAGCTGTGGTTATAAACAATTTTTAGAAGTTTCAAATAACTTATCCATTGAATGTGACTTGACCTTTTTAAGAAGGCTGTGCTACCTGAAGACAAAACCTTATTTATTTTCTACACCTTTGGTTTGCATATTTCTGCATGGGTTCACTTCTTTGGTGGTATTTGAGAGCCAACAATGCAAATAAATGAGTACTACCTCAAAAATAAATGTTTGGAAAACTTGGGAATCTTATTGTGCCTAGCTAACTAAGCACTTTGGCTTTTAGCTGGAATACCGTGTTCAGTTCAGAAGGCAAGAAAGACAATCAGCAAATGTAGTGGAAAGGCACTTCCATTAGCTAGCTACCAGGGTGGCAGCCGCAGCCATAGTTCACAGGTGACAAGATGCTCCTGTCTCAGTTGCCAGGACACCCCTCAGTGCCAACCCTCCCACTGCTGGAGTGGGCCTGTTACCCTTGCCTTCTTAGCAGTTACTATGTTTGATGTATGTGAGTTCGTGTTATTGTTGAGTTATAGTTTTGTTAAAGAGACATCTCAGTGTATTACTCCTTATATTTTTAATCCTTCAACTATATCAAAGACTGGCCCCTTGGAGAGATATAAGAGGTTAACATTGAAACGACTGTGGGTGACCTCATTCCCGTGTCTCCTATTTTATAGTGACATGGCTGGACACCGTTTGCTGCAGGGCAGTGCAGGCTGCCGGGGGTGGAGCGCCTGGGCTCAAGTCCTGCAGTAGCTAATCTTTGAAACTTCAGTCCTGAGTCCTTGGTGATTCTGAAATGATTTACAGAGCCTGGAAGGGGGAGAGACCAGGAAAAACTAGTAATAACAGTTCAAAAGTTGCTAACAATAGACAAGCAATGCTTTAGAGCGACTTTATTTTTAAAGCTCAAGAATTAGTTGTATTTTTAAAGTGTGACATTTGCCCTCAGCACACTGTTTGAGAACCAAGTCAGCTGTCACTATGGGCCTGAGCACCAGGTTCCGGCACTGCTCTCCTGAGTGGTCTCATGGTGAGATGGCTGCTGATCACACCTTCTCTACCATGCCACACCCCCAAAGACATGAGCACGATGAGTTCCTAAGGATAAGTTGCATAACCACACTTGGGTTCCCTCTTGTGTTTTAATTTGAATCCTGACTGTCTTAGAATCACCGTTAGTAACATTGAAAAATGTATACAAGTAGATAAATCAAACTTAAGAACTAGATCTCTTCCAGATTACAAAATTTGAAGCTTTTAGCTTGCCTGGTGTCTCCAGTTTCATTGTGACATCCAGTTAATAGCTACTGGATATCACAATGAAACAAGAAGTTCTTGGTTTAACTCCTCCTGGTCAGGGTACATGCGCTGGGTTGCTGGCTCGATCCCCAGTAAGGGGGTGGGTGCAGGAGGTAGCCAAGCAATGTTTCTCATTGATGTTTCCATCTCTCCCTCTCTCTTTAAAAAAATCAATAAAAAGATTTTAAAAAGTTTTTGAAGCTTTTAAATATATGTTGTGATGCCATTTAATTCTGTGCTGACCAGTGCCCTTCATGGCCCGGCAGCTGCTCACCTTGCAAAGTGGAGGGGCCAGCCTCTCTTGTTTCCCTGAGTGCAAAAGGCCTCATGGTGCTGGGGCTGTTCCCAGGAGCAGGACGCGCTTCTGCTAGCTGCTGTGTGTCCTCGGAGGGCATCTCTGCAGCTGCTCTGGTCATAGTGCTCGTGATTTCAGGAGTCATGAAGGAGATTAGCAATAGTGTGTGCATGCGTGTGCTTGAGTATGTGTGCGTGTATGAATGTTTGTGTGGCTGAAATTGTCATGTCATCAGCCACAAGTGATCTCATCTAAAATAGTGTTTTGAAATGGGAATTGTTTTGTCCTATATGCTGGCATGTCCAGAATTTCATTTAATAATGCAAAAAAAAAAAAATGTGTGGTTACTGAAAAATGTGCATTGGTAGAGAATTTTTGTACAAGATGCATTGGACAAAGCTACACTCCTTTTCAACCACTGCACATGGTTTCTGTAGAGTCAAAGATTCTGTACATATTTTGCTAACTGAAGAATCCTTTGTAAAATTATTTGTTGCTTAAATCTGTGAAAAACAAGTTTCTTTGGAGAAAGTACACATTTGTAAGTAAGTGTTGTGTAGAGAAGCAAGTGTTTTTATTGTATTGATGTAATTGTTTTTAAGTGTTCAGTGTCTTCATTGCAAATTGAAATTCATTAAAAATCCATGTTCCATAATTACTTTTGTAAAAGTTTTGTTATTAAGAGTCTCTTTTATTATTTTACTTTTTTATGTTTTGTTTTGATGCAATTTTTGTTAATAGCTACTGGATATCACAATGATATAGCAATTGAACATATTTCTAATTATAGGATTTCACATTTGAAAATATAAATTCTAGACTTAAAAGAGCAATTGTGTTATATTTTTCTACCTGCTTGTTAGAGGCTAATATTAAGCGATACATAATTATGCTTTTCCATTCCTTTATTCCCATCCCAAAATTTTCTGAAGGGCATTAGTAATTGAACCTAATGCAGGCATATCTCAAAGTCTCATAAGATGCTTGTGTGGTTCTTGTCACAAACAGGTAAGCTTGTTCGAAAGTTTTAAAAATTGCAGTTTTAGAAAATTGACCGCATTTTCTGCAGGAAAGTGCAAGTCAGGATCTGTGGCGGTTGCCGGTCCTCCCTCCGTTCTTACCCACGTGAGTGAAGCCTTGTGCCGGTTGCAGGAACTTCAGGAGGTGTTAACACTTTACCTGGGGTGTCCTGCCTGCCAGCGGACCCTTTTTCAGGTGGGAAAGCTCGTCGCACAGGCATTGGGTGTACATTCAGAAATTCTCCACTGCTTGCTTAATTTTCTACATTACTCTTCAAAAACGTGATTATTGTTGAAATTACATATTCAGTTATGTTTAAAACTTCACATATTATATTAGTATAAAGAATCAAGAAGGCAAGACTTGTATTACTATGATGTCATCAAAATGCCACCAAGATGTGTGTCTCCTCTACTATTCAAAATTTTTGTTTTCCCTTAATAAATTAGAAGTTAAATTATTCCAAAAATTAAGAACACCTCAGTTGTGATGTACAACATATATAGTCTATATTATGGAGGGAAGAAGCAACAAATGAAATCAGCAATAAGATAAAAGTGTTGTGTAATTTAAAATTAATTCTGATGAAATATCTTTAAGCAGCTTCTGGTAAAAAAATAAAAGACTAAGCAGATCCTTGGATCTTAAAAGTTTCTGTGATTGACAAATGATGTCCATTTGTGATTTGTGGGCTGAGGTAAAGAGCAACAAGGGAGCCTCTTTAGATAGTTTGGTCCAGGTATCTCCAAAGAGCTGAGGTTTATCTTGAGCCTGAAGGTAGGTGAGGTGGTCAGGAATTGAAGGGTGACCAAAGAGCAAGGCAAGTCGCACAGAGAACCAAGGGGAGGACACAAGGTGAGGTGTGGGGGAATGGATGAACCCTGAGTCCAGCAGCAGCTTTGGGGAGAGTGGTTTGCTCCACATGTGCTCCCTGACTTGTGGGGACGGACTGAGAGGTCACCAGGAGCCGTGCAGGTGGAAGATGTGGTCACAGTGCGGTGGAGGAAGAGCATGGCCTTGAGGTCTGACTTGGAAGGAGACCAGGCAGGTCTTGTCCGAAAGCAGGGCTGTTTATCGCACAATTCCGGTGTGTGACAGAACATGCTTTTACCAGGAGCGTACAGCTTTGACCTCGGGCATTTCTCAGTTACCCAAAGGATGATTCGCGCAGAAACTAGAATGTATGAGAAGGATTTTTCCCCTAAAGAAAACAGTAATGGGATGTGTTAGGAAATTTTATTTATTTATTTATTTATTTATTTATTTATTTATTTATTTATTTATTTATTTATTTATTTTTATTTTGTGTTAGGAAATTTTAATCACTATTTAGAAACATGGGGTTTCAATTACCTTAGCTAAATTTGTTTACATCTGTCTGCTGGGCATTTTGTCACCACCATGATACAAACACTTCCTCTCACGCTCTGGGTGCCACATCTGCCCCTCATCTTCACAGGTTCTGAATGAATGGTTATTTCATGCTCCATCCAATCCAAACTGGGCCCTCAAGATCCTCCCCTGACATTTTTGGAACTAGAACTGAGAAAGTCTCCCAATAGCTTTACCTGAGTGAAAATAATGCAAATGTACTAAGAGAAAATAACTAGAATTGTGTGCTCAGCAAACTGCCTCTGAAGAACGTGTGAAATGCAGATACTGTGGGGGATATATAGTTTTCACTAGATTGCCTTT